TTGATGGCGTTTAAAGCCAAGAGGCTCGATAGCATCCCCGAGGCAGCGGATGGGATAGAGAAGGGGACCGACACTTTCTGCGAGGATATCCAGGGACCTGCAGTGTCAGCTAAATCTGAAAAGGTGGGGGGCAGACCCGAGGGAGAGGGGCTCAGAAGGTGGATGCCACCCAGGCCTCCCGGAGGTGAGCCAGTGCCGGGACAGGGGGGCGTAAATCAGACCAGGCCCGTGCCCTTCAGCGTGTCACTGTCTGGAGGGAGAGACCAAAGGGTAGATTTCCATAACCGAGGGGCTGCTGTTACCATAAAGAGGGACAGGAGGCTGAGGGGCACATGGGAGGGGGGTCGGGCAAGAAGAGGGCACAGAATATGCAAAGGCTCAGAAGGGTGTGCGTGTATGTGGCACATTTGGGGAACTGAAAGGCCTTTGAATTTAAGAGAAGAGGTGGGGCAGGAAGTGATGAGATAGGCTGCATTAGGCACAGGGACTGGGTGGCCCCTCATGGCCGCACTTAGGACGCTGGCCTTTGTCCCAGGGGCAGTAGGGAGCCACAGAAGGTACCAGGTAGGGTGGTGGGTAGGGGGTATTATCTGGTTTTGGTCCTGACAGGAAAAGAGATCTGAAGGTCTTGCAATAATCCATTGAAAGATAATAGTGGCTCAGAGCAAGGGCCATGGGTCTTGGGGAGATAGGACTGGTTCCCTCCTGCCCCTTCCTGTGCCCAACCCCTGGCTTCTGGCCTCCTGTGCCTCAGTTCCCCCCTGAGATAAGAAGCTGAGCCTGACTTCACTGCCAACTCTTTCTCGTTCTTTCTCACGCTATTTCACTTTGCCCTCACAGCTACCACTAGTCCCCATTTTCCGGCTGGGTAAACTGAGGCTCAGAGCAGGCGCTGATCTGATCTGAAGGGCTGGTTCCTGGAAAGCAGGGAGGTGTTTGTGGCTGAGCGGGGAGGGGCGTTGCGGTCAGAGGCCCTAAGTCTGGAGGGAGGGCAGGGCTAGCGTGGCCAGAGTGACAGATGGGGGAGTCGAGGCCCTTTAAACGGGTGAGATGCTTTCTCCTTGGTCCTCACTTGGAAAGAGTTCAAAGTTGTCAGGACCCTGGGCAGGGCCACCTAAGCGTCAGAGGAGGCCCTCGCTGTGCTGGG